AGTTTTTGAAAATGTTAAGATGTATTAATATTATAGATGAGCACATTAAATTTATTTAAACGTTAAAAGTTTAGAAAAAATATAACAATTTCCTCGGTTATGTTATTTAAATATTTTTATTTTATTTTATTTTTCAAATTTTTATCTATTTATCAAGGACTTGTATTTCCCAATAAATTTCATGTTGCGTCCATACTACCGGACTTTTAGAATATTATACATGTTCAATTGTAAAAAGAAGGACATGGAGGAACATTAAACAGTGATAGATTTTTATATTAATTTCTTAACAAATTACAATGCTTTAATGAATCTTACTAATACTGCAACGACAAAGACGTCTTTCCAAATTACATCTCTTAATATATTTTCCCTTTCTCATACAAGCTCTTGCGCAATCAAAACAATAACCAATCCAATCTTGTTTAAGTTCCTAGTTCAATGAATATGGATCGAAAGGACTTGCTGCCGGATTGAAATAATAAGCTGTCTCTTCTCCACTAGATTCCTTTATAAGTATTGATGCACCTATAAAATTTTGAACTATCAAATATATATAAATTTTAAATGATTACAATACGGAAATAGTATCCTAATTAAATTAATTTAGACTTACATGAAGAAACAAAAATTAAAAGAGTGGAAAATAAAAAAGTCAACTTCATTTGTTAAAAGAAATTAACCAATATCACAAAGAAATAAATTTAATATTTTTTGTGACTACTTTTAAACTTATTTCTTTCTTTTGTTTTGCTCTGGAGTTATTAAAACAATAGACAGTCATATTTATAGGCTCTCTTGATGAATTTTTTAATAAAAAGAGTTACTATTCGAATCAACGTTTTATTTTTTATAAAGAAAAGTTAAGTTACATATTTTTGTTGTTTTCGTTTTAAATTTTAATATTTTTGTTACAATACTAGGTTTTCAACTCACCCTACGCATAGATTTATTCTATATAATTTAACAAAATAATATACAATTATTAATAGTTATTAAATATTTTAATTTTTAAAAATAATAATATACATCTAATAAGTGCGTACAATTAGCGGTTTTACATTTTGAATATTTAAATTGCTATCGAAGCAAAATCATGTTATTTAAAATATATAATTAGTAACTATAACGTAAATATAAAATATAAGTTTATTTGCCATGGCCAACAATTTCTATATTTATATATATACTAACTCATGAATCTTATCTTGGTTTTCTAACAAAACTGTAAATTAATTTATGATTCCTTGTTAATAATTATGATTTTATATATGACCAAATCATCTTATTTCTTATATGCCTGGAAAATATCCAAACTATTTTTACTTATGTATATTTTTTAGTTGTAAATTGCTTAAATTATTGATTCATAAGAAATTTTTAAAATCACCTTGTTTCACATTTGATTTTTTTATCTACAGACATAAGTGATTTTTTAGAAGTTATAGAAACCATAGATTTTCTAAAGTTATAAGCTCATAAATAAATTCAAATTTGTACAAAGTGTTTTTTCAATATTTTTATAAGTTAAAAAACAACACAAACATAATAGGTAGCATTTTATGCCTCAATCGGGATCGCTATAACCCTAACGGTAGTTACAAAATAAATCATATTTTTAATATTTTTTAAAAACTTTAAGATGTATTAATATTATAGATGAGGAAAATAAATTTATTTAAACATTAAAAGTTAAGAAGAAATGTAACAATTTCCACGGTTATGTTAAATAATTTTAGTTATTATTTTTCGATTGTTTTTTCAAATTTTTATCTATTTATCAAGGACTTCTATTTCCCAATAAATTTCATGTTGCGTCCATACTACCGAACTTTTAGAATATTATACATGTTCAATTGTAAAAAGAAGGACATGGAGGAACATTAACCAGTGATAGATTTTTATATTAATTTTTTTAACAAATTACAATGTTTTAATGAATCTTACTAATACTGCAACGACAAAGACGTCTTTCCAAATTACATCTCTTAATATATTTTCCCTTTCTCATACAAGCTCTTGCGCAATCAAAACAATAACCAATCCAATCTTGTTTAAGTTCCTGGTTCAATGAATATGGATCGAAAGGACTTTCTGCCGGATTGAAATAACTAGCTGTCTCTTCTCCACTAGATTCCTTTATAAGTATTGATGTACCTATAAAATTTTGAACTATCAAATATATATATAAATTTTAAATGATTACTATATGGAAATAGTATCCTAATTAAATTAATTTAGACTTACATGAAGAAACAAAAATTAAAAGAGTGAAAATATAAAAGTCAACTTCATTTGTTAAAAGAAATTAACCAATATCACAAAGAAATAAATTTAATATTTTTGTGACTAGTTTTAAACTTATTTCTTTCTTTTGTTTTGCTCTGGAGTTATTAAAACAATATGCAGTCATATTTATAGGCTCTCTTGATGAATTTTAAATAAAAAGAGTTACTATTCGAATCAGCGTTTTATTTTTTATAAAGAAAAGTTAAGTTACCTACTTTTGGTTGTTTTCGTTTTAAATTTTAATATTTTTGTTACAATACTAGGTTTTTAACTTACCCTACGCGTAGATTTATTCTATATAATTTAACAAAATAATGTACAATTATTAATAGTTATTAAATATTTTAATTTTCTTAAAATAATAATATACATCTAATAAATGCGTACAATTAGCGGTTTTACATTTTGAATATTTAACTTGCTATGGAATCAAAAACATGTTATTTCAAATATATAATTAGTAACTATAACGTAAATATAAAATATAAGTTGATTTGCCATGATCAACAATTTCTATATTTATATATGAATCTTATCTTGGTTTTCTAACAAAACTGTAAATTAATTTATGATTCCTTTTTAATATTTATGATTTTATATATGACCAAATCATCTTATTTCTTATATGCCTGGAAAATATCCAAACTATTTTTACTTATGTATATTTTTTAGTTGTAAATTGCTTAAATTATTGATTCATAAGAAATTTTTAAAATCACCTTGTTTCACATTTGATTTTTTTATCTACAGACACAAGTGATTTTTTAGAAGTTATAGAAACCATTGATTTTCTAAAGTTATAAGCTCATAAATAAATTCAAATATGTATAAAGCGTTTTTTTCAATATTTTTATAAGTTAAAAAACAACACAAACATAATAGGTAGAATTTTATGCCTCAATCGGGATCGCTATAACCCTAACTGAAGTTACGAAATCAACTATATTTTTAATATTTTTTAAAAACTTTAATATGTATTAATATTATAGATAATGAAAATAAATTTATTTAAACGTTAAAAGTTTAGAAGAAATATAAAAATTTCCACGGTTATGTTAAATAAGTTTTATTATTATTTTGCGATTGTTTTTTCAAATTTTAGTTAATTTATCAAGGACTTTTATTTCCCAAGAAAATTTCATGTTGCGTCCATACTACCAAACTTTTAAATATTATACATGTTCAATAGTAAAAAGAAGGACATGGAGGAACATTAAACAGTGATAGATTTTTATATTAATTTCTTAACAAATTACAATGCTTTAATGAATCTTACTAATACTGCAACGACAAAGACGTCTTTCCAAATTACATCTCTTAATATATTTTCCCTTTCTCATACAAGCTCTTGCGCAATCAAAACAATAACCAATCCAATATTGTTTAAGTTTCTGGTTCAATGAATATGGATCGAAAGGACTTGCTGCCGGATTGAAATAATAAGCTGTCTCTTCTCCACTAGATTCCTTTATAAGTATTGATGCACCTATAAAATTTTGAACTATCAAATATATATAAATTTTAAATGATTACAATACGGAAATAGTATCCTAATTAAATTAATTTAGACTTACATGAAGAAACAAAAATTAAAAGAGTGGAAAATAAAAAAGTCAACTTCATTTGTTAAAAGAAATTAACCAATATCACAAAGAAATAAATTTAATATTTTTTGTGACTACTTTTAAACTTATTTCTTTCTTTTGTTTTGCTTTGGAGTTATTAAAACAATATACAGTCATATTTATAGGCTCTCTTGATGAATTTTTAATAAAAAGAGTTACTATTCGAATCAACGTTTTATTTTTTATAAAGAAAAGTTAAGTTACCTATTTTTGTTGTTTTCGTTTTAAATTCTAATATTTTTGTTACAATACTAGGTTTTTAACTCACCCTACGCGTAGATTTATTCTATATAATTTAACAAAATAATATACAATTATTAATAGTTATTAAATATTTTAATTTTTTTTAAATAATAATATACATCTAATAAGTGCGTACAATTTGCAGTTTTACATTTTGAACATTTAAATTGTTATCGAAGCAAAAACATGTTATTTCAAATATATAAATAGTAACTATAACGTACATATAAAATATAATTTGATTTGCCATGGCCAACAATTTCTATATATATATACTAACTCATGAATCTTATCATGTTTTTCTAACAAAACTGTAAATTAATTTATGATTCCTTGTTAATATTTATGATTTTATATATGACCAAATCATCTTATTTCTTATATGCCTGGAAAATATCCAAACTATTTCTACTTATTTATATTTTTTAGTTGTAAATTGCTTAAATTATTGATTCATACGAAATTTTTTAAATCACCTTGTTTCACATTTGATTTTTTTTATCTACAGACACAAGTGATTTTTTAGAATTTATAGAAACCATAGATTTTCTAAAGTTATAAGCTCATAATTAAATTCAAATTTGTATAAAGTGTTTTTTGAATATTTTTATAAGTTAAAAAACAACACAAACATAATTGGTAGAATTTTATGCCTCAATCGGGATCGCTATAACCCTAACGGAAGTTACAATATCAACCATATTTTTAATATTTTTTTAGAAACTTTAAGATGTATTAATATTATAGATGATAAAAATAAATTTATTTAAATGTTAAAAGTTTAGAAGAAATATAACAATTTCCACGGCTATGTTAAATAAGTTTTGTCATTATTTTGCGATTGTTGTTTTAAATTTTAGTTACTTTATCAAGAACTTCTATTTCCCAATAAATTTCATGTTGCGTCCATACTACCGAACTTTTAGAATATTATACATGTTCAATTGTAAAAAGAAGGACATGGAGGAACATTAAACAGTGATAGATTTTTATATTAATTTCTTAACAAATTACAATGCTTTAATGAATCTTACTAATACTGCAACGACAAAGACGTCTTTCCAAATTACATCTCTTAATATATTTTCCCCGTCTCATACAAGCTCTTGCGCAATCAAAACAATAACCAATCCAATCTTGTTTAAGTTCATGGTTCAATGAATATGGATCGAAAGGACTTACTGCTGGATTGAAATAATAAGCTGTCTCTTTTCCACTAGATTCCTTTATAAGTATTGATGTACCTATAAAATTTTGAACTTTCAAATATATATATATATATATATATATATATATATTTTAAATGATTACAATACCGACATAGTATCCTCATTAAATTAATTTAGACTTACATGAAGAAACAAAAATTAAAAGAGTGAAAAATTGAAAAGTCAACTTCATTTGTTAATAGAAATTAACCAATATCAGAAAGAAATAAATTTAATATTTTTTGTGACTAGTTTTAAACTTCTTTCTTTCTTTTGTTTTGCTCTGAAGTTATTAAAACAATATACAGTCATATTTATAGGCTCTCTTGATGATTTTTTTATAAAAAGAGTTACTATTCGAATCAAAGTTTTATTTTTTATAAAGAAAAGTTAAGTTACCTATTTTGGTTGTTTTTGTTTTAAATTATAATATTTTTGTTACAATATTAAGTTTTGAACTCACCATACGCGTGGATTTATTCTATGTAATTTAACAAAATAATATACAATTATAAATAGTTATTAAAATTTATAAATTTTTTTAAATAATAATATACATCTAATAAGTGCGTACAATTAGTGGTTTTACATTTTGAATATTTATATAATGCCCTGACCGTCCCTACTAGTGGGCCCCACGTCCTCTCGCGGGCCCATGGGCCTACTTCTGTCTGACGGCCGATCCGCTACGTCCTGGAGGCTTCTAAGACTTGTTTACCGACCCTACAAATCACCACATGATCTTTCCCTGTGTTTTGTCATCACTCACACAGTTCCGACAATCACTTTCCGGAAGGTCAACCATCCTGAAACTACTCCAGCTCAAACACGCTTAACTGTGGAGTTTTCTCCGAACGTTTGACCGAAAAGATAAGTGCACTTTGGTGACAGAGGTGGCCAAATCTATTCTTTTAAACCTCTCCGCATGCAACACCATATTCCTGAAACCGGGGTGTTACAATTTAACTTGCTATCGAAGCAAAAACATTTTATTTCAAATATATAATTAGTAACTATAACGTAAATATAAAATATAAGTTGATTTCCCATGGCCAACAATTTCTATATTTATATATATACTAACTCATGAAGCTTATCTTGGTTTTCTAACAAAACTATAAATTAATTTATGATTCTTTGTTAATATTTATGATTTTATATATGACCAAATCATATTATTTCTTATATGCCTGGAAAATATCCAAACTATTTCTACTTATGTATATTTTTAGTTGTAAATTGCTTAAATTATTGATTCATAAGAAATTTTTTAAATCACCTTGTTTCACATTTGATTTTTTTATCTACAGACACAAGTGATTTTTTAGAAGTTATGGAAACCATAGATTTTCTAAAGTTATAAGCTCATAATTAAAATCAAACTTGTATAAAGTGGTTTTTCAATATTTTTATAAGTTAAAAAACAACATAAACACTTTTTCCAAATATGTAGAATTTTATGCCTAAGTCGGGATCGCTATCAACCTAACAGAAGTTATAATATCAAACATGTTTTGATAGTATAGATGAGCATAAATAAATTTATTTACACATTATAAGTTTAGAGGAAATATAACCGTTTCCTTATTTATGGTAAATAAGTTTAGTTATTATTTTTTAGATTTTTTTCAAACTTTAATGGTTCTTTAGGCTAAAGCCCATTGAAGTCGCCAGCCGATCTCCCTCAAACTAATGGAAAGGTCGTTACCGACCTTCCAAAAGAAGAAACTGGGAAAATTCCCCTTGATAAAAATGTCAAGATATGAAGATAAGAAAGATTTGAAGATTCGAGTCCTAGATTTAAGGAAGTTTAGCTTATCTTTAAACGCTCTTCTCAACTATATTAGAGGGGTTTCATGTATTCAAAGGATCCGTAATTTTACGCTAAAACCCTAGTTCTTTATTTGTTCTTGAGCAAAACCTAACTTACTTCACACGAGATTAGAACTCTCTTTGTAATCGAGTCTTTGATCGAGATGTCGAATAAAGAGAGTGTTCTGAATTTGTTTTCTCCCATTAACAAATTCATTGTGTGAATTCTAAATTCAAAAGAGAAGTAACAAATTCATTACATTTATAACAAATCAATAATATTCCGAATACATACATATCTTCAGTGTAACATCATAAAGCATAAATACTTAGAATTTCCGAGACCCGATTAATTCAAGAATGGAGAAAGGGGTGGTGAACTAGTTCGAGAAGAAGAGCACGATGATGAAGTATAAGACGATAATGAAGACCAAGAAGCTGTCAAAACACTGTCCTTGGTCGGAATATTTTTCATTGCCGGAGCCACCACATCTTCTAAAAGCCCTTGTTGCCGTCGACACTGATCAACCGGGAAAAACAATTCATCTTCGAGATTTACCGGTGTGTTTTCTTGGGCCTTATGGACTGGCTGATTTTGGTTGGCGGGCTCACCTAATTGGGCTTCTTTGCTTTCTTCTTGGGTTTGAGATCCTTTGTTCATCTCTTGAGCATAATATTTATGTATTTTCGTTTTTTTATTGGGCCATTGATGTGTCTTATCGGGTAGGAAGAAAGGGTAAGTATAGTGAAAGTGGAAACCTTCGTAGGTGATGATATATGTGTTACGTTAGGCTCATCAATTGATCTCTCCACTTGCTTCTTAGCATTGCATATTGGGTTTGTGCACTTGTAATAACTCCTAGAGATATATCACAAATATAGTAACATTAGGCTTGTGACCAAAAACTAAATATTCTATATAAAAGTTCAATATGTTGATTTTAATATCAGTTTGGCCGAACCAAAGAAGTTCGATATGCATATACAATTCTAAAACGGGGAATGTATATATTTACCTCGGGTTAGGGCTATTTTTGATTGATTTTTGGCCATATTTTCTCCATTTGTATCCATCATCACACATTCCATTACTATTATTCTTCACCTTTAAAGTGTACTTATCCACCTTGTTCAAAGTACTTCTTTCCAACCGTGGAACCCTATACATCAATATAAACAAGGGACTAGAGCTCATGAGTACATATTATTAAAAGGCTACACTAAACATAAGGCAAAGAGATGTGTTTTTGTAATTGAAAAAGTTCTCTATTACTTACGTTGATTTGGAGATTTCTGGGACTGGGTGGGACAGGGGTTCAACCAAGGCCAGAGCGTTTGCGATATCTTGGATTCGTGGACCGGAGTAAAGTGTTGATGTGACGAACTTGTTGGTAATGGAATCTTCATTTGGCATGAGCCTATGATGTTGTTCTTGAGGAAGAAAGAATAGAGGTGGCTCATTAACAAAAATATCTTTAACGGCGTCGTTTCCACACCTTCTTGTCCACTGATAACCTTCTTCTGCCATATGAGTATGGGAACAAGAAAACTTATACGAGCTGGTGGAGAGGGGGAGAGGGAGAGAGAGAGATTCTATGTTCTTTTAAGAGTAAAGTGTGTTCAATTTATATTAATTTTAGTTTTTTGAGGATCTATGTTCTATGTTCTTCTGCCACTAATATTTTTTATTTTATTTCAATAACTTTAATAGATTAACTTAAATGAGCGAATGTCTAGGGATATTGTTTAAACCATACGAGTTATATATAATAGCAAAATTAGTCATGTGGATTTATTTGTTATATTTGAGTAATATGTCATATTATTGTTTCTAATAATTAAATTATCTACATTTAGTGTGTTGAATTTATATTTAAATTATCTTTTATCTCTAAGTTTGTTCGGCACAACATTATTATAATCGTTAACAACAGAAAAACACTACTATCATTGAGTTTTACTTATTCGAATGTCCACCATCTTTTCACACTAGTATGGAAGACGAGCAATAAAGTGGGTTTTCAAGATATTCAAACAACGGAATCTTTGGATTCTGTTAATTTTTGGCTTCTGTAAACAATTATTCTCATAATTTTGATTCTTTTTATTTATTATTCAGATTCAACACTTTTGTTTCTGATCACTCCAATCATAAATTAAAAAAAAAACAATAGTTGAGCTTCTAACTTGTTGCTTTAACGAAAATTTATTATACCCAAGAACTATTCTTCAGACCTAATTAAAACATCGACCTCATTAGATTTGGCATCCACATTAGGACGCGGTAACAATAAGTTTTCTAACTTCAGAGAGTGAGACACTATATATGGCTGCAAATTTTTTAAGAGATCGTAAAACCCAGCTAGGATTCTGTAACACCCCGGTTTCAAAAATATGGTGGTGCATGCGGAGAGGTTTAAAAGAATTGATTAGGTCACCTATGTCACCAAAGTGCACTTAGAGCACTTCCAATGGTAGTGTCTCCATGAGACATCCATAATAAAAATAAATCAAAAATAAATAAAAAATAATTTTTTAATCAAAAAAGGTGAGACATTTTGAGACACGTTTCTCATTTGAGACATTTTGAGAAACTCTCTCTCTCATACATATGTCAATCCTAGATTGGTTTAACAATTCTTTTTTAAATTCAATTACTCTAAGATTTATAATATCAATTAAATAGTTTATAAGTTTTTATTTTTTATTTTTTATTTTTCTACAATTCATAAAATAAAATTATCTATAAATCAAGCTCCATTATACAAAAGTTTAAATTTTTATTATTATTATTTTAATTGATATTAGTTAAGGTTAATATAAATATAAATTAATATTTTTAGTTAATAAAATACTACTCCCTCCGTTTTCGAATAGTTGTCGTTTTAGAGAAATTTTTTTGTTTTTAATTAGTTGTCGTTTTCAGTTTTCGATGCAAAATTTATTACTTTTTTATTTTTTATAGTATTTATTTTTATTATGCTAAAACGACAACTAA